TGTTTAGACTGTAGAATTAGTTAACCTGAAACATAATAGTATTTGAATTAATATACGATCGATCCATGCATATCCATTAGCTATATTTTATTCATAATTTAATTGATTCTATATCCATGGTTGAACATTAGCTTGACTCGTTCATCATGACAAACCTTTTTTTTATATTTGACGAACCGAGATTTAAACTGACCAATATTATATCATCTTGCGCACAGCCTTGGCCTGAACATTTTAAAAAGATTTTATTAAATTAATATCTGAATTGATTAAAATCTAATTTAACATTGTGTTTGGAGGTAGGAGATTTAGATTTGAATTTGGATCCACAAAAACTTATATTTCTTAGATTTGATCCAAATTCAAATACATATTTTATTATATTTTTTTAATTTAAATTTTTTCTTACACTTTAATTACTTGAAATGCCGGTAATTCTAACTTTCTCAAGATTTTCTCATTTCCCAAATTATTAACATGTTTGGCTGCCTATTAAAGTGGACACCAAAATAGACAAACACATGTATAAACACCCACAGTCACACATACACCTTATCAAAACCAAAATTTAAGTGTACTACTGTGTTTCGTTATCGTATTGTATATACATTGTCCTACAAAAGAGTACATTTCCATCTTCATATATATATAGATATTCACATCCTAAGTCAGCTGAATCTGTATTAGGCCAATTACTCAACACAATCAACTATAGACTTGTGTACAACTTTTAATTTTAGTAACCATTATCCGTTTCCATCTGGTGAATTTGACGCTGAAATATTTATTGTGGTTGGAGAATCAGCCATTGAATGAACACAGTTATCTCTGGAACGTGGACTAGTGCCGAACGAATACCTCTCACTATAAGCTCTAGCCATTGAAATGGGTTTATGCCAAATAGCACTTTCTGAGACTATCAGTGCTACAAAAGTAGCAATTCCCGTGACCAAGAAAAGCCCTTGAAAACTATGAAATGTGAGGCTCGTTGTAGTTGACGACACTTGTCCAGTCTGATCTTGGGCGCCTCCACTATTATCATCCCCAAAATATTTCTTCTGAATGTGATCTATTGTATCACTCCCAGTCACATTCAAGATAGCTCTTAAAAACCATCTGCTCGATAGGTTGGTCCACCTATCATGAAATCGGATCCAAATTTATTGAGGTAAAGTTTAAGAAAAGGAATTTCGTCAAATATGGCTGCGACACCACCTACTTCGCTTCCTTTTGCTAAAGCATCTTGATATTCTGAAAGGTTACTCTAAGCCCTAAGCTTGGAGGGATCAAACTTTAATCTCTGCACCAAAAGTTCCCTTATGAAAGAGTTAGCTTGATATCCAACGTAATAACCCCCTTTTCTTAGATTATTCACATTCAAAAAACTAGATTGTAGCTGATCCACTACAATATCGACGTCAAGCTTGCAGTGTAACTCTGCATGAGCACAAACGCTAATAGTAGCCAAACCATTAGCACAAATCTCGAGCAGCTCTTGACTACAACCTCTCTTGAAAGTTGAACACATGTACAAGATATAGTAACCAAAGGAATATAATGTAGGAATGAATAGAAAGAAGTGAGTTTTAGAACTTACGATCAGGAAGCACGGCCTGTAATAATGGAAACCATAGAATGGTGACTACGTTGAGCTGTTTCTGTGAAGTTTGGGATCCTCTTTCTGGAAAATTGTTGAAATTGCGTTCCATGATCAATATGACGAAATCGATGATGATAGAGGCGATGGCTATGCTAAGCCACAAGCCCCAGCTGAAGGGTTTCATAAAAATCCACGCGGTTAGGTGCCTCCCATATTGAACTGTCACTAGCATCGATACTCTTGTCTGTGTGTATGGCAAAGTAAAATCCCAAACCTTGAACGGTTGGCCACAATTGTCACATCTCCCACCATAGCATCGTACTGTGTTCCATTACATTTGACGAGGACAAATCAAGAAAACGTTAGTTAATTAGTATTAGTTTCTCATGTCAGATGTAATGAATGGAAGTTTAATATTTAGAAGGGCAAAGAAACTCAGTTTAATGATCAGTAGCTAACCTTTTTATTGTGCACATATATCTTTATTTCTAATAGAGATAAGAATATTCAAAATACAGTCGCGTATTAAATATTTTTTATATTTTTATTAATTATGTGATTACAACAACACACATAATAAAAAAATAAACATGCCATCACCAAATGATTTAACGTTTGCAAGAGTACAATGTTGAAAACAAATATTACAATAAAATAAAATAAAATGGCCTTGGATATTTCTCTGATTTTCATCTGTCTTGCTCCAATTTTCTGTGGTCACAACGTCCGGAATCGCAGTTTCATGTTTAGATTGGGCCATTATTCCTCCCCGCCCAGCCCACGAAGTCACCCGTTTGTGGGATGTCGTACTTAATATCACAAACTGACAAAGCCCATGACATTTTTGGGCAGAATACAAGCCCATATTAGTTAAATAAAATTGGGATTTGAATTGTCTTAATTTACAGAAAAAAATGTTACATTTTATAAGCGCAGCACTTTTTTTATTTTTTTTTTCAATTTATTGCTACAACTTTAGTTTACTCCACCGTCCAAAAAATAGAAGTTTCAGTGTTGATCCATCCCCAGTCACGTGATGGTTTTCATGCGCCGTCCGGTTTTTTGGAACTTTCGTTCGAATTGACATATTAATTAATGACATATAATTAATTTACCAAGTCATAACAGGGAGAGTAATTTCCTACACTTTCTTCAATGTTCATCAGTTTTTAATTATGAGAGCTCCGTTTATGTGACTTTGTGGGAATTCAGCGGTCCTTAACGTGATGGATATTCTTATAAATAAAAAAATCCTGATGGAAAAATTAATAATGTGACTTGGATCAAAAAAATTCTTGTCTTTCCACCTTATAAATAAAACTGCAAAGACTAAAGAATATAGAGAAAATTAGCTTAATGGCCTCAAAAAATACAACTTCCATAAATTATGGATGAAGTTTTTAAATATTTTGGAATATGTCCCATTCATAAAATCAATTAGATGTGTTTTTCTTTTTTATCCTTAGAATAAATTTATTATTAAAATAAAATATATTTGATTTAACTAATCTTTGGTTGATTGGATTTGTCCTTTTGATCATCAAAAATCATATTGTCCGTGCTCCCTCTCTGATTTATTATCTCTGAATATTTTCTTCATCATATTTTTGGATCTGATTTTTCTTGATCATCATAATCATCTTTTATATAATGCTTTTTTTCATCAAAATTTTTTATCTAATTTTTCTGGATCGCCATCTTCATCACAAAGCTTTTCTTCTCTCTCTCTCTCTCTCTCTATTTTTTCTAGATATTACGAAGAGGACATTAGACATTAAAAAAGAACTCCATTACTGATCTATGATACTATATCATTGATATATAACTGTACATTAATGATAAATAAATTGGTAAGTTAAAATCACTGATATGACTATATTATATATCATTGATATACTATTGTAGATCAACATAACCAGACAATCAAATATAAACTTGTTTATAATCGATACGCAGTTGTATATCAATGATATAGTATTACAGATCAGTAACACAAAAAATACATAATTATTTTCTCAAAATAGATCAAACAAAATCTCAGGAAACTCTCGCTTGAACTTTAACTTTTGTAACAGAGTTTGATCGAACTTTCTCACCTTGGATCTGCAACTTTAGTGTGACTTTGTGTAAAAACTGCAGTTTCAAACTTCTTCACCTTGCATTCGTGATTTTTCAAATTGAATCTGTAGCTTTCAGTCTGCCTTGCCTTGCGTTCTTGTAGTCTCCTAGCTAAATCTCGAACTCTGTTTATCCATCAGTGTGAGCTGTTTCATTGTCTACTGTCAATTTCTTCGTCATTGTGATCAAGAGTGCAGTGTCATCCCACATCTTTGGGTGAGTGAAAGTGAAACTAATGTGAAAAGGGGGAATCAAAGTATTGTAGTGTTAAAGGGTAATTTTGTCTTTTGTATCAAAGATAAATAAAAAAACGGCCATTATCTTAATTTAAGAAAAGGTAGGTTATTAATTTTATTTAACTATATAATGTTGGCTAAATTTGCTAAAGTCCCAAGAATATATATATATATATATATATATATTTAGCTAATTTTCTTGAAATATGCTTCAAAATACCGCTCTGAGAATTTGAGTGGCCACACAAGGTAGAGACTAAAGACGAGGAAGGCCACACGTTGATCTTTTATTATTTTGACGCTTTCCTTGAAATTTCGAATTTTCGATGGTCTCACATATAATGTTCCAACTTCAAAGGTTTTAGCTACATATATTTATGGAAGTACAGAAGTTAATATCTCCAGTCCAAATTTCGACTGTGCTTTCGAAACATAGATTTAATCACGTCCCCAAAATAGGCTAGCCCGAGGAGCTACCTGTAGCTCATTTTATGTCTGGTATAGGCTGAAAAATTCCGCTTGCGCTTGGGACTAGCTCATGCAGGCTAAAATGGGACGGGCAAATAAACCCGTTCCGCCATTATCTTTTTTAAAATCAAAATTTAAATCTAAATTTGAAACTCAATGTCAGGTCCAACTTAATTCAGTGTAATTAGTTGTAAATTAGTTGTATCTCAACTGAATTGGTTATGTATTATGTTGATTAGTTACTGTGGGGTACGCTCGTGTGTGTGTGCATATATATATATATAGCTCCTGATGTACAGATATTGAATACCAATAATTTTCATTTTAACTTGGTTTTCTTTTTACCCCTTTCGGTAATGCTTAACGTGATGAAAAATGAATGTTGAATCCAATAAATTGGCATATGAAATAATGATAAGAAAGCAAAACAATGCTTGAAACTTGCTTTTCCACTTGTAGGTCTATGCTGTTGTAAGTTATATAACTTTAAATTAAACCTCACATGATTAATTAATCTCTGTCAAACATATTTTCCTTGAAGGACTACTCAACTTGAAAATGCGCATAAGAAAAGGAAAAGACCAAAACCAAACCAAGAAAATATGCTTCACAGATGCCAAAGTCCAGAACTGTTGAATAAATACACGCGCACGCACGCATTAATATACAATTACACACCCACAGACGGTTTTCATGTGCCTGAGCTCCAAGACAATCTTGAATATACTTAACACAACCTAATTAACTGGCTCTAAAGTCTAAACTTAATTATCCGAGCAATGTTTAAGTACCCATTTATAGAGTTAGGGAATAGATGCCACCAATTTCTTTTCGTGCTTGTATTCTCCATCTCCTGACCCAATATTTTCTCTGTTCATAGAACCTTCTCCATCTTCATCATTTCTTCTTGTTCTAGAGCCTTCCTCTGACATATTATTGGTTCTTGTGGAACTCCGGCTCAAGAATTTTTTGCTATACATTTTCATTAGCATGACATGTCTTCTCCAAAAACGATGTTCAGAGATTAACAAAGCTAACAGCGAGAGAATTCCGAATACTACGAACAAACCTGCAAAGCTATATGCGGTGAGGCTGGAACTGTCATCATTTGATGACAATGAAGAAGATATGCCATCATCATCACGAGTGTTAAAATATCTATCCTCAATGTAGTCCATTTCTTTACTCTGGCTTATATTTAATATGGCTTGGGAAAAGTACGAGGTTATGGTCGAATCCTTACGAAATGCCTGAAAAATTATGCAAATGTTCGAACAAATCACATGTTATGATTAGTATTGGAATTTACAACCATGTTAATTAGACAAAGGGACCAAACAAATATTATGCATATACAACACACCAATGTTTATGTTTTTGCTATTATTATACCTCAATGTACCAAATATGACAAAAGTTTACAATATAAATTATCTTTATACTCTTTCCGTTTAAAAATATAAGATATTTTTAATCAAATCTCACCCCCTAATAAAATAGTTATTTACTTTTCAATTAACTCTATCTATCCATATTTACTCCTATTAAACACCCTACAACAAACATAAAGTCGTTATAATAAGGGCACTTTTAAAAAAAGGGCAATGATTACACCTTAAAAGAATAAAAATGTTTTCTATTTTTGAACATTTAACTTTTCAAAAAATGCCTTACATTTTTGAAAAGAATGAGTATTATTTAGTACCTATTTGGTCGTTAGAAACGAAAGTAATAAAATTGATATAAATGAAATTGATAGGAATGTTGATTACCATGTGAGCTTATTTGATATCTGGGTGATCAAAACAGAGCAACAACAGAAAAAGGTATGATAGAGATAAAGAGCTTGAAGGAGGGAATGAGTTGATGAAGGGCAGAAGGTAATTTAATCACAATGAGAATTTCTTTAGTACAGGAGTCATGGTTCACGAGATATTTAGTAGGTGTCATGATTCCACTAAACTTAGTAACAAGTTTTCGGACGAGAATGATGATGCTAAGATCAATGTACAAACCAAATGTACAATATTGCGTAGAGTATAATGGAGATATCATTCACGATGCCCAGTGTTTGAATTTATGCTTATTCTTACCAAATCCCCTTACCTATCATAAATGCTTAATTTTGGAAACATTAATTACTAAAGGCAATAAAAACTGACTTTAAATAATTTTCTTAATTAGTGCATAAGTGTGAGATACTTGTATTTAGGACAAGTAATACTTTACAGCAAAAAAAAAACACTTAAATGAGATAGGAAAAGAGAATGGAAGCTCACAAAGCCAAATCCAGCAGTGCGGTGCCTAGGCCCCACCATGGCATAATTTGAACCATATTTGGCAAGGAAGACTTTAATGTAGGGAACTTCGTCAAAAATGGCATTGACACCGCCTCTTTGGCTTCCTTTGTCTAAAGCCTCCTTATATTGTTTAATGCCTGGGTATTCCTTTACCCTTGAACTGTCAACTGTCAAGCTATCAACCAATAAGCTGCTTATGAATGAACCATAGTGGCATCCAATGTAAATTTTAGGGTTTGTTATAATGTCATCCTCACTAGGGTAATGAGATTGAAGTTGGTTTACCATCAAAATTGATGATAAGCATGCACTATAACTTTGCATTAGTATAGATACCAGAATCAACCACATCACCAACACAAACCTTGAGCAATTCCTCGCCAATAATTCTCCTGCAAATATACAAAAGACTATTCATGTTTTCTCTTATGTTGCACAAAGTCAATAGAATATTTGGAAAATATTGAGAGAGAAAATTGCAAACAAAATATTGACTAGGTTTAAGACTCACTTTCAAGAAAAACTGCTTGCATTATAGGGAGCCACAAGATAGAAACCCCACTAAGTTGTTTTCTAATGGGAGAATTTTCAATTGTTGAATCTTCTTGGACATTGTGTTCCATGAATAGTATGATACCTCCTGTAAAAATACAGACCACAACAATGCACAGCCATATGTCCCAACTAAATGGCCATTCAAAAATCCACATATTCAAACGTGGATCATTTCGAAGTTTCACAAGAATCCTCACATCATACTGTGCATATGGTAATGTAAAATCTACAAAGTTTGACCTATTTGCCACTATCATCAAATCTGCCACTGCAGCATCATACTGTTCATAAAAATCAATCCATAAAACCACAAATACAAAAGGAGAACCCAAAAACACTAGGCTTAATTAGGTAGAAGAGTCCTTCAAACTTTTAAAGGAAAGCAAATTTAAAAAGAGAGTCCAACCTAAAAGATTAGCCTATTAATTAGTTTAGTGGAAGAACTCATTACACTTATAAATCACATTTCAATTGTGAGGCTTCCCGATGTAGTACTTATAACACAAGTGTTGATTATGGTAAAGAATAAATTCAAAACACCCTGCTGCAAAAAATAGTGAAAAACTTGGATATTCTAGGCCTGACCAACCTCGTTATACAGTCAGCTGGCCTGGTTTGCTTGAACAATATTAGAAACAAATCTCTTCAATTGTACGTATTGCTACTGATGAATTGAAAAGAGAGAAAAGAGACTGGACTTCTGTAAAACCCATGTGACAAGAGGTGAAATTAATCTCTCTCTCTCTTTACTCCAGCACCAATACAATTAAGGAGATCCTCATCAATACATGCATCCAAGACAGTAAATTAAAGTGTCTAACCTTTCCTTCATTAACCTGGCGGATGAGTGCTTCGTAACCCCCAATAGTGTTTCCATTTTTGTCTACAAAAGCACTAAACTCGAAAGAAATATTGTAGTTTGAACGCTGAAGATAAGCTACTGCAGCCAAGAAAATGTCAATAGAATAGCCAGTAACGTTCACGAGCTGACTCTTGTTCAAAGGATTCAGTTGTGTATCCACAAACTGGACGAAGCTTACTTTCTTGGGAACACCAATTATCAATTTCTTCCCTCCCTGGAGTGAGCCTGCATCATCGCCTGCGCCAATCTGAGCTATTAACAACACAGCACAAGAAAACATTACAAGATAACCATGGTAAATGTTATTTGGGTTGGCCATCTCAAAAAAAATTATCTGAGCAATAAAATGGAGAAACCAAGAAGCTAGCTACAGCTATATACGTAGTCTGCGTTTGTGCAGCTACGTCCCTTTATTTTTATATATGCTTCGTTGATGAACTAGCACGCCCGCAGTTTGAAGGTTTCTTACCAGTTGACAAGCTATAATTAATTTCGAGGAAGTTCAGATTAGAAAGCGACGTATTCTAGAATATGTTAAACAGTCTCGCTGAATAATACAGGACACCTTAAAGATGAATGAATTAAACAGAGCTAGTCAATGCCTTGCAAAGGAAGTTGTTATAACTAACTACCCCCTCCATTTTTATTTGTGAAAAAATATCATTTTTTACTTATTTTTTATATAAATAAAATCACTTATTTCAATAAACATTTATTACACATTTCATAAATCACTCCTCATAATTTATATTGATGAAAAATAATTAATGCATACTTATATTGATTAATATAGGATATTTTAATCTAATTTTTTTACTTCCAAACATAATTATTGTGGTTAACAAACTTTCTTAAACTGTGTGATATATTTTATATATATATATATATATATATATAAACATATGGAGTACATGTTTCGGATGTTGTATGAATTTTAAAATATAATACACTATAAAGCATTTATATTCATAACACATAGAAAAAATATATTTAAATTAGGTTCTTACAGGTTATTTTATTTTAATTGATTTTTTATAGTTTAATCAATTAAATTTTTCAATCCTTAAAAGTTAAAATTCTTAAATTTTTACTTTAAAAAGAAAAATAAAAACTTTTATAAAAAATAATAAAAACATAAACAGTATATTAAATTAATCTTTTTTTGGCTAAAAATATTAAATTAAATTTTTTATAAATTCTAAGAGTTTTTTTATGAAATTTAATAAGTCATTATTAATTTTAATATTCAAGAGTTAACATATATAATAAATTAAATTATAATATTTTAGTTAAAATAAAATAAATTATAAAAATTTAATTTAAAATTAAATAAAATGATAAGGACCTGTAAAGTATAGCAGAAGACTTTTTTTTTTTTAAGCAACGTGATCATGAAATTGACTTTTTTGTAGCCTTCGAGTCTTGTCAATAATAGTGGCTTTTCAATGGAACAGCTTCAAATGCACTTATGGAATCACTGCAATGGAAAACCCGTTTGCTTGACTTCGACCTAATAAAATTTACGATTTCGCAGAAAAGAAAATGTGTTATATATATATATATATATATATATATATAATTAAAGTGGATTGATCTTTTACATGTTAAAAAAAAAAAAAAAACAAATTGACTCCCTAAATTATAATAAAACACCCCTAAAATCTTAAACTCATTTTTAATTTAATGTTTACCTATAACTTTTAAAAATAGTACAATATAACCCTTCAATTTATGAATTGTAAATTTTATTAGATTTTTTTATCAACGTCTTTTCAGAGTTTTATATATTATAGATAGGTTAATTCAAAAAAAAATATTATATAAGGGTTAAAATAACAATTTAATGTTACTTTATTATTAATGTATCACTTTAATTTTTATTGTTTTATAGTCCCTCAAATTTTTATTATAAGATACTTTTAACTGTTTCACGTATATTAAAAAAAATTAATTTTTTATATCATGAAAAAATGATGTGTACTTTTATTTTTATCATTGGTTTTACATAATATTACAACTATATTAAATATCTTCATATTAATCAAGAAAGGATAAACTTAAAAAAATAATTTAATTATTATAAAATATCTTACATTTTGAATAAAAAAAATACTTGTAGAAGGTGTTTCTTTAGATAGAATTGAAGGGAGTATTTGTTATGATAGGTCTAGATATTCCAGTAGCCTTGCCTCTATTGGACTGATGCTTTGAAAATGAATTTAAATAAAGAGCAGTTACGCCATCAATAGCTAAATCGATAGAACTTTTGTTGCCATAAAAAAATTTCCAAATCTAACTCATATCAATCTATTTCTCCTAGCCAGGGGTTGTTCTAGAGAGAATTCCTATGACATCAATAGGCATGGAAAAAGGGCAAGCCAAAACTTTCACAAGAAAGTAGGACTTGGTGGAAGTAGCTTAAAGAAGTTATTCCAAATTTTAGCATCAAGGCGAAACTATGCATAAGGGGTAGCCTTAACTTAAGTCAAGAAGGAGGGCTTAGGAGTACTGAAAATTTCTAATGTTCACAGTTCAAAGAAGGAATTTTTCCCTTACCTAATATAGGATCTGAGAAAAAACTCAATACAAGCCTGTTGGTTTCAAGTGAAGTACTGCTTTTGGCAGCTAGGCAACCTATTTTATCCTGTTTCCCTTTTATACTCGGTTCTAAAATCTTAGTGATAGATCTCTTTCAAGCTAAGCTCAATCTGCTTTCCCTACTAGCATCAGTACCAGCCTTAGCAACACGCTCAAAGACATTTTCAGCCATTTCTGACCATTTTGAGTGAATCAAAAAAAAATGAAAAAACCCTAGTTATAGAGAATGGAAACTCACGTCATAATATCTCCTGGTATTGAATCTTCTGATTTCAGGGTTGAGGGAATAAGGTGCCTAGCCTTATTCAAATGTTGATTTGCTCCCTCTCCTCTTACTTCATTCGAGTGATTACGTACTTGATTCTTATCGTTCTTTCCCCAGCAATCAAATTATCTTTTCTATATTACATACCTCCTGCCTTCCCCTTCCTCCTCTTATCTTAGATATCTACCGAAATAAAAAGGGCTCCTAAGCCCAATCTCTATAGTCTCAACTGCCAGCCAACTTTCTGGATCAATGCCCTCTAAGGCATGAGTGGAAGACATTATCCTAGCTATAGAGTATCTTTCTAGGACCTTGAACCAACATTATAGAGACAGCTTCAAGTTCCATCCTAGTTGAAAAAAGGCAACAATTGAGCTATTTATGCTTTGTACCCCTTGAGATTCTAATAGATTTATCCTTACTATGATATCAAGTGTCTTTCTTCTCAAATCAAAGTTAAGTGCTCCTCTTCTCTTGCCGATTCTCTTCCATCTACTTCTTTCACTTTCTTACTCATTTTTTTAATATAATAATTAAATGCTTATTGCTAGCTGAGCTTGTCTGGTCAGCTTTACTCAACGTCTAATTAGAATCAGTAGCTTCTAACCAGCAATTTGCTTTACTCATTGTTATTATTCTTGCTAGTGAATGCTAACTTTGCAAGATCTTCTTGAATGATCTTTCTATCCAGGTTGCTTGCTTACCAAGTCAGGATGGCCCTTCACTCCGATCCCTAGCAATCTTCACTCCTCTCGCTTTGCCTTTATCTGATAAGGACTTCGCCTTAGTAATCTAGGGGCCTGTGCTATTAAGCGGATGCACATTAGAAAACAAGTAATGGCCAACTATGAATAAAGGTGCTTTGGCGTGAAAGCTTTAGTTATGTAAAGGCATTAGTATGCATAGCCGTTTTCTTGCTTGCTAGACACGTGCATCCACTTAGACGCGCTGCCATTTTCTTGTCGGGAGGGGGAACGAACGAACGGTAAGAAGATTGTCTTCTCCTTCTTGCCTCAATATAAATTATTGGCTAGACTTTGATGGTTGATCGCTCTCGTAAGTGTACGAGATGACAATAATAAATTATTTGGAGTATTCTAGATGTCGAACCCACAGAAAAGTTACACTTTTACTAATTTAAATAATTAATAATTCAAGAAAAATAGATAAAATAAATAATTTTGATGAAAATATAAAGAATAAAAATAAATAAAGAAAATAATGATGATAAAATATAATCACTTAAAGCGTTGGGATTTAGAATTCACCCTATAGTTTGCTAGTTTCTACCCTTTGAATTGACTCTGATCAATTATAATGACAACTATTTCTAAAATATCCTAATATTTTTCAAATTATTAGTCCCTTTCTAATTAGCATTGAATTAGTTTCCACGATACCTAAGCAATTAATTAAATTGGGAATCTATAGTTTAAGTTATCACAAATTTCTAAAACCATCCCTAGCCTAATTATTTATGTTTATTTTTTAGATCTAGGTTCTCTCTTCACCTCCCAGTCCATCAAGATTACCTATAGATTTAATCAAATGATGGCCAGTCATTAAATCAGTATAAAGAACAAGAGGAATAAATATAATTGAAAAAATAAAAATATTCATAAATATAAATGCAAAAAGTCAAAATAAAGAAAATAAAAAACTAACTACTCAATTGGGCTACATCCCTACTCCAACTGGATAATTTAGAAACACATAATAAAATTAAATAAAATTATTCTAAAATCCCCAATCATGAAAAATGATCACAGAGAAAATTAAGAAGTAGAAAAGAAATAATTATGAATTGTAAAACTCCTCAACAATCTTGCTTTCAACCTTCAAAATGCTTCTACAAGCTCCAAATATCTCAAAGAGAATTTTTGAGATACTCAAATAAGTGATTGCATGACTTTCCTCTTATTAGAGGGAGTATTTAAAGTGGAGGCTCATCTTTTTATTCCTAATCGACGTGGGACTCTAAGAGATATATATATATATATATATATCTCTTTTCCTATTCTCTTTCTTTTACTGAATTTATTCTTTTTCTCTACAAAATATAAAAATAAAAAGACATGAGTAGATTTTGTATTAAAATTTCTTTCTATCTTATAATTAAGTGATGAGAGAAAAATATATAAATAATTAAATAGATATAAAATCTTAATAAATATAATCAAATCCAAACTAAAATCTACACCTATTTAATTATAAAATATGCACTTATCGATGGTTCATACGGAATGAAGTAACTAGTAGAGGTTTTGTTTGAGACAAAGATATAACAACAAATATGAGCTCGTAGAGATTTTGGATGATCTTTAATTTAGTACTAATTTGGTGTAATTAAGCCTTGAACCTTATTGTGAGATAACACTATGTTGCCACTATTATTTAAAAAAGCCAATATCTTGCTTCCCCTTCCCCCCTCTCTCTCTCTCTCTCTCTCTCTCTCTCTCTCTGTCTAAAGAAGCCAATATCTATGCTGATTATAGCAATTAGTGACCACTAGCTCATGATATGGATG